TTTTTTTTTCAAAGATCAGATTGAGTTATATAATTTTTAATAAAAAAATATGAAATTTACTGTTATATTTCTTTTTTTGATCGAACTTTTTGTGCTAGTTAGCCGTAAGCGCAATGAAAGACAACTTTCGTCGAAAAAACTTTTTCCAAAAGGGTGGTGGGTACCGATGGATTTACCCATGTAATCAAATTTTACAATACCTTTTTTATTATTTTGTTTTGCCTACTGTAAATATATGCCAGAAAGCGACCTCTTTCAGCGGAAAAATACCTGGAGGTGTTGTGAAGGGAGTTAAACAATAAGGATGTCGTCTTTTTTTCGAAATCTTCGTCAAATTTGAATGATATTGTATTACGTTTTATACAAAAAAGAATCTTCAAGAATAATAATTCTTTAGTGCACTAATTAATATGTATATATACATATATCATTTTATTTAGATTATTATCCCATATGGTATGAGTTCGATATCGACAATTGATTGTTCTTCATTTGAACCTTATGATAAACCTATATCAACATGGAAAACATTGGTAACAAATTTAAATTCTGCTGAACGTGATTATGTCAAATCTTATTTGGGTCAATCATTAGTTGAACAATGTGAAGAAATTGAAGGAGAAATTGATAGTTTACTTGATATTTGGCGTGATTATCGGTAATTGATTTTTTTATTTGTTTATTTATTTAATAAAAAAAATAAATTATTAATATAAATATAGTAATGAAACAGTTGCTAATTGTACAAATCCAACAATTCATAGTTTAGCAGAACCACCTGTTTTACGACAACGTTTAACTACTGAAATTGAATTTTTTGTTAAACATATTCATGAACAATGTGCCAATAATGATCAAATTCTTCGTCGTCGTTTATCAAATGGACATAATTGGAATGCTATTAATTATGCACTTGTAACAAGTACTGGTGATGATGAACGTCGTATTCGTGAACGACCTGTATCAGCTCGTGATCGTCAAGGACGTGAAACGCCAATATTAGTTATACCAGAACCGTCTGCAAATATTGATGAAATAAAAATAACAAATCCTCTTTCACCACGAACACTTTCAACTATTGATGTCGAAACTGTTCGTCATAAATTAGAAGATTTCACATTTGATGATATGATACAACGTTTACGAACAGCTATCAGTGATGATATTAAAACACTTGAAATTCATATTACATATGTACATGTAAGATATTGATATATTTGATTATATTTTATTTGATTTTGTTTTTCTATTGTTTCATAGCAAAAATTAGATGAAGAAGCAGATTATCGTGCAAAAACAAGAGGTCTCTTACGAGAACCAACTCTCGGTGGTAATAAACTTCTTTAATCTTTTTTTTTAAATATTAAATAAGTCTAATTTGATTTGATGTAGAACTTAAAGATGAACGTAATCGACTTGAAAAAGAAGTATTCAATACTAATCAGGCAGCAGTTTCACCAGAACCAGTGATTTCTCTAAAAAAGTATAATTAAAATTTCATTCTTTAATCATTTCATGTATATATATATTCATCTTTATAGACAAACATCAATAGATAATACTAGTCGTCGTTCATCAACAAGTTCAACAACAAGCTCGATTCATAGTCCTCGAATGTCATCAGATGGAATAACAACGAAAGAAACTCGTTCCCATGGACCTTTACGTGCTTTTGCAACTGATCCACTAGTAACAGCTAAACCACGTTTAGCTATCGATCGAAAAATTTCTACAACGACCAAATTGGATTCACCTGTATTAGTACGTTTGGGTTCGATTAAACAACAAGATTTACTTAAGAAATATCCATCATTAGCTACGGCAACTCCAACTACAGCTGTTAAATCAAGTAAAGCATTAGATACGTCAGCAGCACGAATTAATTCAGCTGATAGATTTCGACGAATGGTTCTTGAAAGTCGTGAAATCAGCAGTTGAATACATATATATATATGATGTTTCATTCATGAAAAAACAATCAATCTCAATATGATAATGTAGTTACATTCACTTTTATTTTGATTGAGCTTTACTTTTACATATTCTATGACGATAATAAGATGTGTTCTTCTGTTTTCTTTTTTGGATAATATTTAACTTCATGTGTGTGTGTAAATTTTTTCAAGAAAAAATAATTATGTTTTTATATAAATATCGAAAATCTAATATAAAATGTGTCATTTGAATCGAATTACATATTTACTATCGAATGTATTAAAGTTTATTGGTTTTAAAATGATTTTGCAAGATATTGGAAAATCTATCTACAATAACTATACATATTGAATTCTCATAAAATATGTTTTTGCAACCATATAAATTTAAAAATCTAATGTTTAATATTCGTCCACGAGAAATTATATTTTATAATATATAGTGAATATCTAGGTCTACATTTACATATGCTAAACAAGTCTGAAGTAACATACTGATTACAGCTGAATGCATATGAATAAGAAAAAATACATATGATTCTAATACAAAATTTTGTACATTTGATTTGTATAATATAAAATGAAGAAGAAAAGAACATCTGTTGCATTATCAATTTAGTTTATTTTCTATTTAATGTGTCATGTTGTATTTCTAATATTTCCCTTTTAAGAAAATTTTCTTCGATGTTTTCTATTCGAATATGTTTTATATCATTTAATAATAAGTATGTTTTTTTAACATCTTACCAAGCCACCTATTCTTTCATTTTGTTAGTTTAGATTGTATGTTTATGTTTGTATGTGCAACTAAGTCAATACTAATAAGTAAAAGATTTTTTTTTGTCACTTTTCAAAAAAAAAAACAGAAGAGAACTATCAAATTGGTTGCTTGTTAGACGCATTCGTTGACTAGTAAATGTAAAAAGTAAAATCACATGTTTCAGTTACTTCACATCTCTAAACAAAAATAAGTGAAATTATCGACATGATTACAGTAACAGACACATTATTTTTTGCATTATAACATGTTAATGTCAACAAAATGAGTTTTTCATGATATGGCAAAACTTACTGTTCAAACGATTTTACCAGATATGAAGCATACACATTATAATTCTATAGAATCACCTATATATCGTTTTCCTCGTCATCTTTTACAATATGAAGAAAAAGTTTCAACAGTAACACTTAAAGACAAAGGTTTATTAGTACCTGCACGATTAGCACTTAAACGTCAACGAGGATCTCTTAAACCGGCGACAATGAAAACTGAAGCTATTGATTCGAGTGCTTTTCAGATTGAATTAGGACATACGGAAGATTTTGATTTACAAAATTCTGAAGATTTTGATAAACATCATGCAATGCAATCAACACCATTTCATCCTAATTCAGTACGAGGTGATACTCCACATACTCAAGCAACTGATATTTCAGTCATGTATAGGTATGTAAAATATTAAGTTTTTCGTTTTTTATCGAATTTAAAACAGAACGTTCTATATACATACATAACTTATCTTTTGTCAAATTTTTGTTAATACATGTGCAAGTTTTCTCAGATTATTTTCATTTCTCACTATAACATTCTTAATAATAATCAATCATTTTCTTCTTTTCTAAAAATAGAAATGTTTTTTTATCACCTTAATCTCTTTTTTTTCTCAATAAATAACCTTGAACTTTTACGAACGTTATTCTTATCAATAAAAGAAAGAATTTATTAAATTTAGAGAAAAACCATTAACTTCACATCCAGTAACTGGTCAATATATTGCACAACATGGAGAAGACACTGGAGGTCCATCACCATGTTCATATGTTTTACCACGTAGACCATATAGGGAAAAAAATGCACCAGCTTATACATTTGGTTCAAAATGTTTAGTTGAAAAAGGCAAATTTAAAAATTAATAATAAAATTTTTTGTAAACTTTTCTCTTTTCTAGAAACTGGTTCACGTACAGGATGGCAAAAACAATGGTTTGCACATTCAGATCCTTATACAACCAAAGTCGACTTTAATCGTGAAACTGCTTGGCCATCTCCAGTTCATTATGAAGCTAAAACAGCTTTAGGTAAACAAACATCTAAAGTTAGTTTTCCATCATGGTCTTTTGCGGCACGTCTTAATAAAAATCCAAATATATTCCCAGAAAATAATCCAAGTCCAGATACATATAATACAATATCAGCTTTTCATAAATTAACAGGAACAAATACATATATTACAATGAAATCACGTACTGGTGGTAGTCAATTATCAGCTATACCAATTAAAGGTAATATTTCTTTTTTTTTTATTTTGAAAATCGATCAATGAGTATATTATTTTGGTAAATTCTAGGTAAAATACCTGGTCCAGGTGCGCATGATCAAACAAAATTTTTATCAAATAAACATTCAGCACCGAAATATTCTTTAGCTCGACGTTTACCAATATCACTTCGGCAAGATCCTTATGTGAATACATTACCATCAGTTGAAACTTAATTTTCTTTTCTTTTATTGACTATCAATATTCTTTATAAAAAAAAAAAGAAATATATTCTACTATAACTTTTTTTCTTGTTCTGTTTAAGTCAAGATTTGACACAATGTAAATTTATATCGCTACTGCAAATTTAAAAGCATATTTGCATATTATCAGTAGAGAGAGAGAGAGCAGCATATCATATAGTTCTCATAGATAATGAGCAAAGGCTTTGGTAACAGATGGTTGTAATAATGTTTTCAAATTTTATGCATTTCTGCAGTCTGTATTCTATTTTTGATAAACGATACAGTAAGACAGTATAAAAATCAGAGAATAAAAGTAAAAAGAAAAAGAAAAGAATAGAACATATTCACCGATATATACAATCATCTGTACATTATATACACAGATGTGATATAAAAACTCACTATACAAAGTTTAAATAGCATCAAACAATAAAAAGAAAAGGATTAAGTTGAAATAACATTATCAAACATCCTTTCTTCTGGTACCAATTCACCAATAATATATTTTTCTAATATCATCCATGCATCTAAACTATGTGGTTTATCAGCAAATGCCATTGTAGCATCAGTGCCTGCATATTCAAGCATTATATCCGAACCACCAGGATGCTAAAAAGACAAGAGTCGATAAAATAAATAAGTTAATTGAAAAAGAATAATTTACCTCTCGCATAAATTCAGTTACGTCATAAACAAGATCTTTAATGACCATCCAACAATCATTTTCCATACAATGCGCGGATATATCTTTTAATGTAAATTGTTTTCTTTTAGGTAATTGAACAGTTTTCAAACTGAATAAACGATTTTGAAGATTATTTAATGCACCTATAAGAAATAATAATAATAGTAGCGTTTTCTTAATAATAAAATAACTTACTGATAAAGTCCATTTGAAATAGTAGAAAAATTTTTTTTTCGAATTGTCTAGTTTAAACTTTTTTAGTTTTTCTTTGATATATGAAGTAAAATGGTTCGGCATCGTCTGTATTTATAATATCATCGTTTATAGAGACAAAATAGTATCATGATGAAACGATTGAGAGAATAAGAGAAAAAGGGGGTGTGTCAAAAAAATATTCATTTATTGGTTGATTTTATTCTCTTATTCTCTCTCTTTCTTTATTACATTTCATCAGAATAGTTAAAAGATAATGGATCGAAGCCAAAAAGAAAAATGAAACGCCCAAAAAGATTCGTTCTGTCGATGGAGACTAAATTCGAAAGAGAAAAAAGAACGTACTATTATACATACAATATGCTTATGCGATGATTGACACATACATGTACGTCATCAGAGTATAGATTCGGTCTTTTTTTCTTTTCATTCTGATCAACCTTGTCATCGTCATTCGATTTTTTTGTATTGGATATACTCTAGAACTATAGTCATTAGAAAAGTCTCATCTCATCATGACATTGCGTTCTTTCCTTTTCAATAGTGATATCATGACTACGTAATCGAACGTTCTTTTTTCTTTGAATAACCTAGAATGAATTAAACCTCTAATGATTTATATATTACGTAGTAAAATAAAATGAATAATAATGATTAATTTTTAATTTAAAATTAAACTACGTAACAGAATTATATTTTAAGTCATGTGAATGAATAACATATAAATCAATTATTATTGGATTAAGATAAAACTTGACAAGTTATTTGCTGGATGAGTTGAATCGATGAAAATGATAGTCATCTTGAACATCTATGGACGGTGAACAATACTGTATATTTACGCATCTGTCAGATGTTCAATGAATGACTGGGTCATGGTCACTTAGTTGAATATAAATCAAATTCTCTTTTTTTTTTGCTTTATTTTTACAGTTGAATGAATAAATTATTGAACGCGAGAGTAAGAAAAGGATAGATATTTTATATACGTTGACCTTCTGTCAAGGCAGAGTCTTTCTCATTATTTGATTATTTACTAGAGGGGAACAAGAAAACAGTTTACGCCCTGTTTTCCTTGATGTCATAGAAATACATGATACATAATATTTTTTAAATATTGAATCATTTACTTTATTGACAGCAACATCTATAATAATAATAACTACTAGACGAACTTAGATTATAATCAATTAATGATTTCGTGTATAAAATCAAACACAGTTTTTCTTCTATTTCATACTACATTCTTTCTTCTTCTCGTCCAAATACTCACATGCGCACACACCCCCTAATACGAATCCTCTTGATTATTTTTTTTTCTTCACTTCAAAAAAAAATCAACTGACACACCCATTATACTGAATATTTCAGACAGTATTTCTCTCGTGCCTTTTCCAACGACGCAATTTAGCTTAAATTATTCGTTCTTATCATGCCAAATCATACTTTACGGTCGTTCGACCAGAAAAGAATGTCCTGTACTCTTTTGACTTTATTCATGATGATTATACAATACAAAAGATATTCTCTACTACGTCGCTTTTTTTTCCTATCGAATATCAACATTATTCGTTAAAAATAAACCAAGCAAAATAGTACGATGGATAAAAAAACATTCGTTTAGATTTAATATGAAAGAATGTGCAAGAGATTGTTGAGTACTATTCTATTGATTTTTTAATAATGCCAATATAGCTATTGTATTAAATAGTGACTTACATTATTAACGAAATTTTGAGATGGAAAACATATTTGTTTGTTGATAAATTAATGTTAACTAAGCAAGAATAGAAAGATTTACACGTCTGTATCATTAGTATATGAGCATTCCTTTCGAGTTTTTCAGCAATTATTGTCCGAATATGTTTCTTATACCTATGCTCGTACAGTAAAACCTCTCTAATATGAACACCACTGGAATCAATTAAGAATGTTCACTTTATGAGATGCTCATTATCACAAGATTTTTACTTATTTTTTTTCGTCTTTGTTCTCTTCTAAATGTGTGTACTATTGTATAGTTATTTCGTTGATCAGACATCTGGCTCATTCTTTATCTCTCTTTCTATCTTTATATTGAGTTTCCCTTAAATAGATATAGGATAAATAGGTCAAATTCGAAAGTCTGTTCCATATTTGATGTTACTCCTTATTAAAACGAATACGATGAAAAATTACAATACGCATTCTTTTCGTTGTTAGATATTTTTTTTCTATTAAATAGATGTAGCTAGTTCATTCCTGTCTTACATGTATTTCATGATGTCGACGACATTTTTTTTCGTTCTGTGCACGAATAATACAATATCTATTGCTCACATTATAGAGGTTGTTGTTCAAAACATCAAAACTAAGTGGATACTGCAAAGAACAAAGATTGTATATTAAATTATATACATAGAAAAATTAAAGATAATAAATCGTTTATTATGCTGTCCATAAATGAAAAGTTTTTGAGTATAAGAAGAATAAACATCATTTCAATTATTTAGTATCATATCATTGTACAAGCTACTCAGTGCCCAACTATGGACTGCGTTTTTGTGGCAAAACTACGATTAATCAGAGTTCTTAAAAAAATCAATATCATTCGTTTTGTAAATGTCATTTCTAATATATTATCCTACACTAACTTAGAAGATGCGTAGATGGCAAAGATCTCCAATAATTATGAAAAAATTGAATAATTTTAATCTATAATCTTTTTAATTAAATTTTCGATGGTATTGTATTATAAAGCTTTTGGTAGATGAAATTAAATATGTGGATAAAACACATTCTATGAGATGTTGCCAAACAAATGGTCTCAATAGGTATTAAAGAAACAGAATTTTTTAATAAAAATAGTTTGATAACATTTATTATTGTTTGTTTTGTTTTTATTTAGAAATAATAAAATTTTTTCAATAATTTCTTTGATGCTTCAATTGATAAATCAAATATTTTGGTCGCATGATAATTCGTATGAAATATAGAATAATACAATGTACTATCTTTAATATTGTTCACCATTATAGCAATTTCTTGATTTTTTAGGGTGTGGGTACGGGTGAGTATAAGTATTCTATTTCATCCTCAACTACACCCGCACCCTCAATTTTATTGAAACATTGTAAAGTCACAACAGCAGCTGACAAACAGTGTTATTCAGAAGAACATGAACATAGATTATCTTCATTGCTATACACTATTCTGTTATTAAGTAAACAATAATCACATTGCATAAAAGACATACAGGCATGTCTGAGGAGATTAGTTTTACACACTCCTCCATGTCCATTGCATATCTGTGATTTACACAGTTACTCTATATACGCATGCGTTGGAGTAGGTGTATGTTTTAATAAATGAAAACATGAATAATTTTCATTCAACAAGTAAAATCCGTGAATAGGACATCTTCGCCGAAGTAGATTCATCCATTCAGCACGAAACACTAGACTTTAATACAATACACATCAATAAGATCTCACACAAAAAATAAAGGTAGTTGTTGCATTCATAGCACTTAAAAATCGAATTTGAAGCTGATATTGAAGCAAATACTAAACAGTAAATCATTCATATCCGAAATTCAAACAAAGAAAATTAAATTCCATATGGATTAAAAATTATACATCCTCTTCGTCAAAAACAGTTTTTTACTTCGAAAGTGTCGCAAAAGCGAGGGTAGAGAAAAATGCTTTCGAAGAAATTTTTCCACCGAAGAGAAATACAACCATATTAATAATGGATTAAAATTTATTTTTATTGGCGCAGTAAATATATTAATTTTTCAAAAATTGTTTCTAGAGAGTATCGCTCATTGCTATCGCTCGATTAACGTTCATTTGAAAACTATAGCTAAACGAACGAGTGTCTATAATACTATCGAGCGATTTGAACTTTTGTATCTCTCAAACGCGTAATAAATTAGTCAGTTCAATGTTTCAGATTTATTCTTTGTTCAAAGTTAGAATAAACGCTTTTTTATTAGTGATATACATAAAATAATCATTTTTAGATGTCAATGTGAATGCAAATGTCTTTACTTCCATTAACTACATCTTCATTCATCGTATAATGTTCAATATGATTTTGCATTTCTTCCAGTCATTTGTCATTCAAGTGTTTACTGAGCAGTTCTCGGCATGGCAAAGGCTCATCGATTTGCCCGACGAGTTCCTGCTATTATTATGGGAGCAATAGCGTTTCTTTGTCGTCGATCCAACGGAATAATATTTCGCATTTTCGACCGAAGTTCAGGTAATACAGCCATCGATACAAAAGGAATAAATAATGTTACAAAGTAAGAGAAAAATAAAGCAACTAAGAAAAAATCCGCACCCACATCGCGTGATAAACCAGCTGTATAAGCTGTATATAAAATTATGCATGGAAAGAAGAGAATAAAATAAAGAGCAGATAACGATAGTAACTGAAATAGCATCTTGCTATAATTTCTCCATCGAAATTGTTGACCCATTCGATATTTGTTATACCAAACACGACCAATAAGTAATAGACTGAAAATGACAATCACAAAACCTGGTGTAATTAAGCCAACTATACTATCCCACATAGCTAATGTTGGCTGAATATATGAACACTGAAAAAGTCCGCATGTATTTAGACTATAATCGTAAGAAACCTCACATGGTATCACGAAAAACATAATAGAATAAAAAATGGATGGATAAATACCAAATAGAATCAATGGGAAATAATGAAAAACAAAACATTTGAGTGGCGTTGCAGTTAAGTGTTGATGAAAAATGAGAATATGTCGTTCAACTGATGCCCAAGCCATGAGAATTGTTATTGAGGGAGGTAATGTATAATCTATCCATACCCATATGAGACAAAATATGGGTGATGATATTAACGTTGAATGATTACGATAATAGTACATGTACCAGATAAAATCAGTAACCATATACAAAAGGCCAAAAAAATGAATGAGAATAATGACATGATTGTGAAGACCTTTCCGTAGTGTTCGATCCATGAGAAAATAATAAAGATTGAAAATATAACATATGATTGATGGAATTCCAAAGATTAAAAGAAGCCAAAAGCTAACAACATCTGGTATTGCCATATTAATATACGATAATTTGTGATGACTAAATAAAATAAGCAGTTATTTATGATATATTGATAAGAGCGAACTGATAAAATTGATGTTGCAATAAAAGAACTAATCAAACACTCCATAAAGATATGAACAAGTCGAAAAAATTGAAGTATTTTCTTTTTTCCTACTGTTTTTCTGTTATTGAATTATCATGAGATATCTTTTGAATATGTGAGTACAAGAATGATCTGTTTTGTTGACAACTATGAAGAAATCTTTATATCGAAGAGAACTAAATATCTTACCTGTTATTGTTCAGAACAGAAATGTTGAATGCTTAAAAGCTTTTCTATGTTGCTCGATTTTTATTTGACCAAATGAATGGATATAGAAAGCTTTCTTCTCATCCAACTGGAAAATTACTGCTATTAAGTTGTTAGAAAAAAAATTTATGACATCTGAGAGATCGTTCATGCAAGTGTTAACTCGTCTCTATATGCAAAAGAAACTGCGCAACTAAGACGGATTACTTTTTGAAAACATTCTAATCATGTCTACAGTATCTTTGATGTGTGTTCAGCAAAAAGATAGAATCAAAAAGATAATGGAGTTAAATATAGTAGACCAATGAAAAAATAAGAAAAGATGTTTAAATCGCGACCTTAGTCGGCGACGGCGGCTAAAATAGAATGTTTGACTGTCGGAGCTTCGACGAAAAAATGTACTTTAATATCATAAAATGCCTGAAGACGTTCATCAGTATTTTTCAGACGATGTATAAGAATGTGACACATCGTTTCCGTCAATTTTTCATCAAATAAAGATTTCCATGGTTGTTGTTGTTGTTCAAATTGTTTATCATCTGAATCAAATTTTTGCGTGTGTTCTTCCATTTTAATGTATATTTTTACTTATTTTTTTTCGGATAAAGCAAAAGTTTCGAGAAATTTCATACTGTTTATATATCATATACTACGAAAATATTTAAATCTTGACTTTTTTCAAAGATATGTCAAATGTATATGAATTACAGTGACATAGAACATTCATTTATACCCTTATCTCTTTCTAAACTGTAAAAGATTCGACAAACATAGTAGTTGTCTTCGGTTTACTTTCTTTTTAAATTTGATTATAGATTTAATCATCGAATAAATATAACATAAAATGATATGATTCCATGAGCGTATTAATTTCATCTAGAAACATATTAACAACGAAATAAATATAAATAGATAAATATTCTATGTTAATACGTTGCATTACTCGTTAAAAGACTAATATATTTTGTATGACTTTCCACTTCGATTGGTATATGATTGAAGATGCTAATATGACAAATAAAATAAACTTTTTTTCATCATTCTATATCTAATTGACATTGACAATTATGAATTTTTTTATTAAGTGTTTATTATAAAGAAAAAACTATACTTGAATAATTATGTCAAAAAGAAAATTATATTTTTCTATAAATAATACATCATTACTCTCTGTTAGAGAAGCTTTCAATGACATTCTATCCAAAGTTTGATAGCAATAAAAGTAGAATAAATATTTTTCTGTTAGACAGTAGAAATGGATGACGGAGAGATTTCAAGATAACTTTTTCCAAATTCATTAAATATTATAAAATTTTGCTGTGGTTAGTGAAATATATAAATGTCTCATCTTAAATCATAATCTGTATCAGTATTTTAAAGCTTAGAAGAAAACATTAATTGAACTTTGAAAAGAATGAAAATTATGTTTATGATTGAGATTGAATCAGTTCATATCCTCTCACTCTACACTAAATTGAGTTAATACATAAGGAGTAAATATTTATAAATAAAATCAACGAAAAATTATATTTGTTCTGTCATTCTTTAATTATATACAAAGACGTAAGCAGGTTAGGGTGAATTTAGATAGAGGATATAACGGCAAGTGTGTGAATAAATTCCAATCCGCGCACTCGCCATCTAATGAAAAACAATATGAAGACAACAACTAATGTTAAAGAATTTTGTTTTATTTATATGTGTAGCAATCATTCTCACTACTAATTATTGCCGTTGAATAGGTTGAACCATGGTTACCGATTACTTTTGAAAGTGGGGGGGGGGGGGCTAAATTTTGCCAGAAAGACTTTCTGGCAGACCTGTTAGTAGTAAACCTATGCTTTTATTTCAAATGATAATATCTAAGTTAAGCTTTATTTCAAAAAAACGAACTATAAATGACTATATCAATGAAAATGTGTTACCCCCCCCTCGCTATAATAGAAGCCCATCCCGTATTAGAAGCCCCCCCCTGAGATGAGCAACGTGTTTGACGTATTAGAAGCCCCCCTAACTTTTCCCAAAAATTTTTAAAATTTTTCATAATTTTTCGAATTTCCCTGCTGAAGTTGCTAAAATTTCTCGATATTAAGGTGAAATTTCGACTAACTCCTATCTAACTGTGCTTAAATCTAGAAAAATTGCAAAAAATCTTCTGAAAAACTCATGAAAACCTTGAAAATCTGTAGAAACCTTCCGAATCGATTTCCTTATCATGGTCTATGAAAACTTTTTGGCACTTAATAGAAGCCCCCTCCAAAAATTATAAACGGTAGACAAATTAGAAGCGCCCTGGGCTTCTAATATGGGGAGGGGGGTTTATGCTATATAGATGAATTCAGAATTTCAACGAGGTGATATTAATCTAATGCCAGAAATAGTGAAGAGAGATGATAGACTTTCTGGCAAAAACTGTGAAAAGAGAAATCATAATTTTTCTGGCAGGAACTGTGAAGGAAAGATGTAGATTTTCTTATAAGCATGTGACTTAATTAGAAGTTGACATAAATAGCGTTATTTTACGGAAAAAATCGTATAATTTCATCCATTTACATTATGATCGAAAATTATAAAATTGTCAAAGGTATAAGAAAAAATTTGGCAGAAACAACTTTTATTTTGGGGGGGCTAGACCCCCCCCCCCCCCCAGCCCCCCTAATCGGAGACCATGAAAGTCTTTGATTTAAACTTTGCTCAAAACCTGCGTGAAACGAATCTCAAAAGTTGATTCATATTCAATGATTATTCTTATCAATAGATTTTAATTCGAACTTATAAGAAACACTCCTTTCTACTCGATGATTTTAATCTCTTTGACAATAGAAAATTCTATTAAATAGACTTGCATTTAATTCTATCGTTCTATTATATACTAACGGAACTCGATCTCCTATCTATTCGTAATGTACAAGACATTTTAGAAAGAGAATCGAATTAGGTATTATTATCGATAAAAGTTTAGAACCTTTTAAATATAACAGATACGAATAATAAGGAGAAACTTCGTTTTGCAGAGTATGGGCAAAATATTTGTCTGTTACATTTCGATATAGAAAAATGAAACGATAATATGATAAAAAAGTGAAATTAGAGTGTAATTTTTACCCCCATAAAGTCTTGCGTTTGCCGGAAATTTTGATGGAGACAGTTTTACGAAGAACAGTCCGTGCTGGACAATAACTCGATACACGAGAGTTAGGAAATAAATGACGCAGATCATCTTCATTAACATCTTCTGGTATATTCGTAACTACAACTCTTTGTTTATCATGTGATTGATGATCTTCCGGAAGACACGAAGAATTACCTGCATATTTGACACGACATCCAGAACCGAGACGAGCATAATCAATAGATTGAGCAAAATTGTGTTTAGCTTCTTCGGCTGTTCCATGCAAAATAAAAGCATATCTAAAGAAAAGGTACTCATACATAAGAATATGATTGAGGATAGAATAATACTTGAGAGACGCTGTCTGACATTGTTTTATTATGACGTGATTGGATCCAACAAAATAATTATATAGATCAGTTTCATTTATATCATCACGTAACCTAAATACAATAAGAAGTCTTGCATCATTTTTGGTCAGGTTTGCTTTTCTTTTCTTTAAATTCTTCTTTATAGAAACTTCTGATGCTGTTGTGTCTGTTGAAATCTGCGATCTAGACATCTAAATAGAGTTGAAGATATTGTTTTAACAGACAAATCTCATTCAACAGAACTTATGATGATTATGCAAAGAAACAAAAATAAGTCATTTTTTCTGCTTGAAACTTGTCGATGAAAAATTACATACAAAATGAAATATTAAACAACATTTTTCTTATCAGTAACTCCTCCTATATTCTCGTCTCTTTACAGAAATTCGACATTTTTATCAACGTAAAACATAGTATTTCTATATAAACTATATGAATATGAAGAGCTTTTAACTTGAAAATGATTTGTCACTAATCATGCTGAACTACTCATATATTATTCTTGTACAAATTTATATCTCCTCGATGACCATATTCGCTTAAATTTGTAACGATTGACAAGAAATTTTACAAAAATGACATCTTTTCTAACTCATTATGTTTCTGAAACGACGACAAACGTAATAACTTACTATTGATTTTTCTTGATATTCGTCGACACTATCACTTAGTTCTCCATGTAGCGCAGATATTGACGATATCACTGATGATATTGGATCTCCGGTGTTCATGAAATTTTCGAATGCGTAAAGCTCTTCATCAGGTGTTTCTATATCATTAAATATGCTTGACATTTCCATTGATATATCAGTTTCAGAAGACTGTTCTTCATACATTTGAGAAAATTCAGAGAGATATTTGTCGAAATCCAATTCGGTAAATGAGGTTAAGAATGAATCTTCGTTAGTTGTATTGTGCAATTCATTACTTCTGAAATGATGAAAAAAAACTTTTGTTGATACGTTAAATTCAATAAAAGCATTTTATTCACGGAAGATAATATTGCAAATAATTTCTATTCTTGTTTCTTTTATTTCATATTAAAAAACGATTTTTTGAACGATATTTATCTATGCGTACAACTATTTCTGATATGATGAAGAGGAAGAGATTTAAAAAGTTTAATTTTATGTACATATATTATTAATAACGTTGAAAAAATGTAGAATTTTTTCGATTAAGATGAACCGATCTGATTGAACAAATCTAATCTGTTATTATACTAGAAGATTTTGATTTATTTCATCGAAACATCAATGAGAACGAGTAAAGTACTTCGAAATGAAAAATTTTAATCACTCGTGAATGTTTTTATTCGTTCTGTCGTTTATATCTACAAGACAAAAATTTTCATTGAAGTTTTCTTTCGTTCTGCTGCATCGATAAATACGGGCTCTCTTCAATAACTCACGTATATCAATAAGAGAACGAAAAAGAGCGATAATGTGTTACGGTTAATCGAGCTATTCTCCTTCTCGTCTTTTTGTCTTTAGAAGGCTATTGAAAATGATTTAAATATTCGTTTTTGACTTTATTGATCAATTCTCATTTCTAATTGACAAAAAATCAATTTTGAAAAGTTTTTATAAAACAATTTCAACGCAAGAAATATTCTATCTATTCAACTAATTTCACGAAAGAAAAATAATTCTTTCAAAAAAATATCATTTCATTTGGAAATAACTTCACAAATTTCTCTCTTCCGTTGTTTAGATTAAGATTATTTTCAATGAAGATTTGAAACTAACTTGTCAATTTGTGTTTGCTCTTGAGAATTATCTTCTTCGTCTTGAATTAAAAACGAACTATACACAGGTGAGACATTTAATAATGAAGATAACTGGTGATGTTTTGTTACAGTTGGATCAACTTCTTCCATAATCTTTTCTTTGATTAGAGAAAGATTTTTATCTACAAAGAAAAGAAATATTTTCGTTGATAATGTTTCTCAACACTTCTCTAATAAAATCTCTCCAAGATTGTAATATTCTTGATTAGATATTAAATGAAGCAACTGGTTTGGACTTTCTATCGAGTAAATTTATGTAAATGTGTTCAGTCAAGATTTTTAACATGTGATATTAACGAACTAATTTAAAAAAAACTATGCAAACAAATCTTTTATATCAACAACTAACAGAAAAATAGTTCTCAATTTTAAAAAGTATATTGATATAAATTATTAACAGAGATAAATAATATTTATTTACAATAAACAAACAAATACGCTAAGTGAACACTAATTGAGAATAAAGAAATAGTTGCTCCTTGAAACAGTATAAAATTCCTTGAGGGTGTGAGTGCGGGTGTGGATGTCTTTTCTTCTGTCAAACACACACAAATAACTACTCACACGCCACCCTCACCTACACTCACACCCACCCACACCCACACCCACACCCACCCTCAAGATATACAAATCAATAATAAACACAAAATATAATTGAAAAGTTTGTTTTCCAGTTGATTTCAATTTAGTATTTATATAGTTACATAAACAAACTTTCATTTTTTTTATCCTATTTAAAACAGTCTGAATCTTAGATTATATAGTTTTTATTTTTTTATGTGCATCTCGATATAAAATAAATATTTCTCAAACGTTGATCACAACAAATATGTAAAATTCACTTTATTTTTTTTATACCTTTAAATAAACGTATATGATAGTCTATTGAGAAGTTTTGATTACAAAAAAACAGACTCTGAAAATGTGCTAATAATACCAAAATGCAATTAATAATTGTGGAAAAAAAACAACAACTCATAATCTAACTTAATGCTATTCAATGCGTATAACAGTAGTTCCTTCTTTTCTTGAATGTTGTGATTTACTTCTTTTTCGTACTTTAAAATCTCGTTCTGGAACAACATCATCATGTTTAATAATAACTTCACGATCAAATCTTAATAAATTTTTCATATCATTTAATACTTCATTAATTTGTTTAGTTATTCCTAATGGTTAAATAACTGATTGTAATTTATGTTGGTGTTGATGTTACTCGACGAGATATAACATCTTCTGTTATTTCATTATCCTATGAAAAATAATTTATTTTAATTTGTAAAATAATAAAAACTAAATTTACTGCTAGTTTATTCATTTGAATAAATCGATTATCATTTTGTTGAATATTACCATCTGATAATTGATGGATTTCATTATCAATCATTCCTTTTTCCTAAAAATATTAATTCTATATAGAAAAATAGTATAAATTTTGATTTTAAAATTTATAAAAATTATTTCACATTGTCTTTCATACTGTAATTGATCATTATGTATTTGTTTTTCTTTTTATATTATTTCGAATAAACACTTCATTGATTGTAATTCTTGTTCATAACGTTTTATAGTTTCACGTTTTGTTTGTAATTCCTTTTAGAAAATAAGAAAATATAAGATTTTCAAGAAAAATATGAACTAAATCTTTTTTTCATAAATAAACTAAAAAGATTTCAGATAATATTGCTTAATTTTAAATGAGGAATCAAAAAGAGTATCGACCAGAATGATTAATCTCATAGTCGAATCTTCAAAATATTCTCTCTCATTTTATTCATAGATCTTTAGAGTAGGAAGTTGAAAGCAATATTCCTAACTAAATCTTCTCATATAGATAGATTATTTAGACACCAACTGAATTCAATCATCTAGGTGTATCGTTCTACTTTGTGAATCAGAATTTAATGCTTCTTTTCTTTTTTGACTCAAGGAAGTATCAGATTAACTATAGGAATACATATAACAGATCATTGTGATCTTATTTCGAAAAGATTTTTTCATTTGTTTTATGATTTCCTACTTTTACGTTATGTTGTTTTATAATACCAGCTAACATATTTACTTGAAGTAATAATGCTTGATATTTATTATTAATATCATTATGAACAAGTTCAATTTATTTATTATAATTAATAAGATAACGAATACGATCAGATAAATGATTACTTTCAGATATATGTGGAGTATTTAAATCTTCATTGATGAAATCGAATTGTTTTTTTTTATAATTTTCAAAATAAGAACTTTTTGGTGAAATAATCGTTGACATAGCATCAAAAGTTAACCAGAAATAAATGAGAAGAATTTTGTAGAATGAAAAAACAGTTTTATTATTTATATATCTGATGTATTATTTTCAGATGAAATTAATAAAAACCATTATTTAAATTCTAATTCAACACATTCACATTCAGCTGATTTAAGTAAAAGTAATATTAGTTTTTTAGGCAATCAGCTACGTTCATTTGCATTTGAAGTTATTATTTATTGTAAACGTTGAATTTGTATCTTAAATAAAATTATTTTTTTTATAAAATATGTTAATATTAAACAAATAGAGTGAACGTGTTTTTTTTTACTGACGACATGTACAGATGTATCTTTTGATTTTTCAAACACTATTCACAACCTACAAGAAGCAAAATATTTTTTCTTCAGTACGACATAGCTGCTAAACAACAATATTATATTATTCTTGTTAATAAAATAATACAACGTTTGCGCAATTTATTGATAGATGGTGTCATATCATTCTATTAAAAATTAAAATCCTTATGTACGATCAATAATTACGATGTTAATATCAATATGAGAGAGAATATCATAAGCAGATAGATCAATCTGTTAGTCTTTTTTGTTACGTTGTATAACTTTTATTTTAAATCACAATAAAATGAAAAAACAATGAAGCCAAACAAAACTACTATCGTCAGCTATTTGATACAATCTTATATCGGTAATTTACCGTTCTTTACAACGACGACCACGTGCTTCATTATATTAACTTAAAATATATTATTTCCTACTCTCGTTCGCTTAATGTACTTGTTTTTATACATTTACAATCCTAGCTACATATAACTAAATATATGTGCACTCAACCAAATCTATAATGCGATTTTGTGTCTATACACATTGTAATATTACATGAAAAAGAAAAAAACGAGTGAAGAGTGTACAAGCGCTTCGTATGAAATAAAACCTTGAGTAACAATACTTATTAGAGGAATCGATCAAATTACAACATAAGGACGACCTTACAATTCGATAACAAGCAATATACAACAGCCTTGGAAAAAAGATGATAGATGCAAAAGTTTTACTTTTTATTGAACATTAAATTCAAGTAAACGCATCAGGCCGCCATCTCCGAAACCATAATCCCAAATATGATTCGTTCCAATCTCAGTTAAAAAGCGCATAATACCAACTCATTCCACCTCACAATCGGACCAATTGCACTGGCGATTTGCTTGCTAAACGTCGAAGAAAAAGTCGAAATGAAAAATCTCGAAAGGAGAAAATGCTTAGATGTCGTCATAGACCAGTATCGATGTTTGTTTGAATCATTTTTCTCGTATTTTCTTTCGGCTTCTTCTAAACTCGTTTTGTCGACTAGGTAGGGTCTGGGTTAAGAGCCGATAAATACTAGAGAACTGCAAAATCACTTTTTTTGGTCCCGGTCCCGGCGGAATTGGGACCGGAATCACTTTGCAGTTCTCTAATAAATACCCGCATCTACACCCACACTTCGTATGTAAGGTTGAGAAAATTATGATGTCTCAAGAGGGTCATGAATTTAAACTTCTAACTAGAGCAGTCGATTGCCCAGATCACGACCTACGATTCTGCTGAAACCCTAGGTCTCGATTGTTTTTAGTTCAAGAGTTATAAACATTTTTTGGTTAGATATATATTTCTTTTTCGAACATAGAAAATAGCGAAAATTGATAGTATTTTTGGAGTTTGATCATCTTAGTTGAGATTTTATCCAAAATATCGTATTGAAAATCAGCGCAAGAAATACACTGATAACACTGGTTTATTGTAAAATATTTCCTAACAAAATCTAATCGTGCTCCTCCTTAACTTTTGTCACCTAAGTCGTTCCATGTGGTCCCCTACCGGTCAAATTTCGGTGCGAAATATTTCATTATAAATCATAGTGTGTTTTGTATATCTTTTACGCGGATTTTGAGTATGATTTTTATTTTGGAGAAAATCTCAATTAAGATGATCAAACTTACAACATACTACTCATTTTTCGGTATTTTCTATGATCGAAAAAGAAATATATACGTTGCCGAAAAATGTTCATAAATGTTGAACTATAAAAGATAGAGACGTAGAGTTTGCGTTGGATTGTAGATCTTGATCTTGGCAATCGGTTGCACTAATTAGATGTTGAAGTGCATCGTGCCCTTCAGATATGATAATTTTTTCAAGCTTACATACGAAACCGCATTCCGATAAACTCCATCAAAATGCTTGGCCATTCCAGTAGTAACAAGTCCCGCGTCAAGATCGGTTCAACGGTAAAAAATCGTTGGCCTCTATCATGTTCCCTTCACGCGTTATAATCATTTTCGCGTGGCCCCTTTTTTTTGAAAAATGGATTATAATTATATTGGAAGTCCAACGGAAAGTGATACAAGAGAAATGTGTTTAAATTTATTTCGTATTTATCTTCTTCCCACGAAGACTAGTTGATTTATAAATATTGGATTAACCCTCGGTTCCTGTTGGGGGATTCGCGTGAACCCATATTTATAGGTTTTCGTCTCGCGCTACACAACTATTTACTGTTTCGGGTCATTTGTTCTTTGTAATCTCTATGTATTGGTAGCTTTACAATATCCTGATAAAAGATTATGAATAGATGTAAGAGAGAAAAAATACGATTATGGATTCACGCAGATCCCAGAATACTGCTGAAGTTATAAAATGAGGATGGTAACCGAGAGTTAAATAAAAACATTAGAATAAAAACAGAAAGTTATGTTTATTGTACTTCTTATTTTTATGAGTCAGTATTAGTTGTCAAGTTGAACATATTTAATAATATCTTAAATGAACTTTTCTTTTCTCATAATTTAAAGTAAAATAAAATATTTTCTATTTATAATATTTCTCTTCTTTTCTAGTTCATTTGAACAGTAATCGTCATTTACCAACTAAAATCGGTGGTATACATCTTTGCAAATATTTTTCAATGGTTTGTTCAAAACTGATTAAATCAATGCGTTATAAATTTTCAAAAACATCACTTTTATTTCATCGTAGTCGACTTAGACCTCGTTATATATTATCGATACTTGCTGGTGTATCATTTGGTTTTACATTAAGTTTAGCATGTTTACCAATGATAAATGTTTGTGATAATTCATTATTACTTTTTTCTAATCCATTTTCTGCTTCATTAAATGATCATCTTTCAAATGAAACATTTTCATTTCGTGATACATTTGATCGAATATTCAATCGACAAGAACGTTCAGTTACTGATGTTTCACTCGATGATTATCGTAGTAAAGATTATGAACCACGAGTACTTCCACCATCAATGGAAAAAAATATTAATAATCAATCTTTATCAACACCAACACAATCATCAAATACATCGAAATTTATACGAACACGTTATATAGCTGATGAATTAAATATACGTGAAAAAGTTCTTGTTGCTGTTATAACTGAAACAAATCATTTAAATACATTTGCGTTTTTTCTCAATCAAACATTACAAAATTATGTTAATCGTTTATTATTTTTTATTGATAAAGATATACAAGATTTTCCTAAAGGTATGGAAGTAGTTGCAATACATGATAAACGAGCGTATCTAAAACCAATTCATATATTAAAATATCTGGCTGAAAAAATGATTCAATCATATGATTGGTTTGTACTTGTTCCTGATAATACATATATACGAGGTTTTAAAGTAAGTTCAATAGAGGATATTTAATTGTAAAATTATATTTTTCAATATTATAGCTAAATGAATTTTTAAATCATATTAGTATTAGTCAAGATCTATATATGGGACAACCAATTAATGATGTACATGCTGTATATTGTTATTTTGGATCTGGTATTATTTTATCAGGAGTATGTATTAATAAATTTGAATTCTATAGAAAATAGTTTTAATTATAATAAGAATACAAAATATTTTCATATTTTCTAATTATACGGTACAGAATGCCATAATTCTTATTTAGCAAAAAAAAAGAGTCGGCTTTATTTTATGGCGTAGATATATTATGTATATGTTAAACATTATTTTTTTTTATTTGATAAAGTAATGAAATAACTATGTTTATAGACTATACTTCGCAAAGTCCTTGACGAAATTGACTGGTGTACAAGTAATGCTTATTCACAAGATTTAACTGATAATATTGGTAGATGTATTTTAAAAGCAACTAATTCATCTTGTGTTGATACGGCTAGTGTACGGTTTCTTTTAATCTATATATCTTTTTGTTCTTTTTTCTAATTCATACAAAAATATCTTTTAGAATTATAAATTTACAGCTTATGTAAATTATTTATTTGAATTTGATACGGATATTGGTAAGTTATCCAAAAATGAAGAATTCAATCAAACATTAACTGTTCATCCTGTAAATGA